AGATATTGTAGAAGATATTAAAGAAGGTTTTCAGACAGCATTAGAAATAGAAGGTGACACTGAGAATACAGTTGCACTGAAAATAGAATTTAATAATTTATGTAAAACAATAATAGAATTTTTAAACAAGGCCCAAATGCAAGAAGAAAAGGAATTCATCATGGCGGCATTTAGTTTGGAAACAACTTCCAAAACTCTCCCATTATTCTCAGGAAATTTCAACGAACTAGAATGTTTTATGGTGACAGGTGATCTCATATATAAGACATTATCAGAAGTAGCTAAAAAAGATTTCCTTCAGTACGTTTTCCATGCGAAACTTACTTCAAATGTTAGAACGGCTATTGGTGTTGTTGCTGTGCCTGAGACTTTTGACGCATTGAAGAGTGCTTTACAGCAAAGATACAGAAATAACAAAACAATTCCACAACTACAGGATAGGTTAAACAATTTGTACCAAAGAAATTTAACGGTAAATAACTACAGGGACAGATTGACTGATATAATAGATAACCTTAATAAATTAGGAAATGATGAGTTGGGAAATGATGCCACAGAACCGGAGAAAAATGTAATAATTACCCTGAATAATAAACTAGCCCTTGAATCATTTAAAAGGGGCATAAATGACAATTTAAAAACAGCAATTTTTGCTGCACGTCCCAAAAATCTTCAAGAAGCAACAGAACTTGCTCTCGAATTAGAAAATGAGCAAAAAACAAACCCAAGCTCTATTATGCATTTTGAGAGAGGTTATAGGCAAACCAATAACTTTAGACCAAATAGACAAAATTTTAATAATAACAATTATAGGTCTAATAATAATAATAATAATAGTTATAGACCAATTAACAACAATTATAGACAGAATAACAGCAATTACAGACCAAATAACAACAATTTCAGACAAAACAATAATATCAGGACAAGTAGCAATAACAACAGTTTTAGGTCAAATAATGACAGTAACACAAATATTAGGAAAAGCAATTTTAACAACACAAATAACAATAATACAACTAGGAATAATAATAATAACAGCACTAACAGAGACAGAAGATATATACGTGCAATAAACGACACGGGAAACATGGAAGGCTCGGAATACGAGAATATTCCGGAAAGCCAAAATTAAGGATTTTTAAATTAACTGAAAATAATACAAATTTCATTACTGTCACATACAAAAATAAAACATTAACATTTCTTGTCGACACAGGTGCCGACATATCACTATGCCGTATGAACAAATATTTCGAAAATGAAGAATATTATCCAGAAGAAAGATGTAAACTAACAGGTATCACAAATCAGGAAATAAATTCAATAGGAACTATTGACCTTAATCTAAATTTAACAAACATAGAATGTAAACATACATTTCAACTAGTAGATACAGATTTTCCAATTGAAACTGATGGTATTATTGGTCGAGACTTTTTAAAGAAATATTTTTGTAAAATTGATTATGAAACATTTACATTAACTTTATTTGTAAACAATACAACAATAATTTTGCCTATGCAAACAAAAACATATAGTGAATTAACAATAACAATACCACCAAGAACAGAAATTATACAACCAGTAAAATTAAATATAAATGAGGATAGTGTCATATTTAATAATGAGTTAGAAGACGGAATTTTCTTAAGTAATTCGATAGCACCCAAAAACGGAATGACACATATAAAAATTTTAAATACAACGAACTCTACTGTAACATTAAAAGGCATTCAACTCCAGACTGACGCACTTAAAAATTATGACATATTAAATTACAATAACATAAACAATGACGAGCGTTTTAACAAAATACTAAATACACTTAACATAAACAATAGTGACGAACATGCAAAAAAACAATTAATAGAAATTTTTAGAAAATATCAAAATGTATTTCATTTAGATGATGAAAGTTTAACAGTAAATAATTTTTATAAACAGAATATCACAACTTCTGATAATACACCAGTGTATATAAAAAATTATAGACTTCCACATTCACATACACAAATAATAAATGAACAAGTACAGAAGATGCTTAACGAGGATATAATAGAACCATCAGTTAGTCCATATAATGCTCCACTCCTTTTAGTACCGAAAAAGAATACTGAGGATAAAAAGAAATGGAGACTTGTAGTAGACTTTAGAAAATTGAATGACAAAATAGTCAATGATAAATTTCCACTAACTAGATTAGAGGATGTTTTGGACAAACTAGGAAGAGCAAAATGGTTTTCGACGCTCGATATGACTAGTTCATTTCACCAAATTGAGCTTGAAAAGGATTCAAGACCACTTACAGCATTTTCCACTCCACATGGTCATTTTCAATTTAAACGACTCCCATTCGGTTTGAAAGTATCATCGAATAGTTTTCAAAGAATGCTTACAATAGCATTGTCTGGATTGGATTCTGAAGCTTTTCTGTACGTAGACGATATAATAGTATATGGTTGCAGCTTAAATCATCACAACCAAAATCTTGTCAAGGTTCTTGATAGACTTCATAGATATAATCTGAAACTAAATCCACAAAAATGTTGTTTTTTGAGACCAGAAGTAGTTTATTTGGGTCATCTTATTACTAAAGACGGTGTAAGAACAGATCCATCTAAATACGAAATAGTCAAAAATTACCCTATACCCAAAAATACAGACGAAGTTAGAAGATTTGTTGCATTTTGTAACTATTATAGAAAATTCATACCAAATTTTGCAGATATTGCAAAACAATTAAATTCTTTATTAAAGAAATCAGTTAAATTCGAATGGACCAATGAATGTCAAAGTGCTTTTGACACACTAAAAGAAAAATTAACTAATCCACCAATATTACAATACCCAGATTTTAACAGACCTTTCATACTTACCACAGATGCTTCAAATTACGCACTAGGAGCAGTTTTATCACAAGGAGACATTGGACAAGACCTACCAATTTCATACGCTAGTAAATCTTTACAAAAACACGACATTAATAAACCTATAATAGAAAAAGAACTTTTAGCAATCCATTGGGGCATAAATTTCTTTAAACCTTATTTATATGGTAGACAATTTATAGTAGTAACGGACCACCGACCATTAATTTCACTATTTTCACATAAGAATCCTTCATCAAAAATGACTAGAATTAGACTAGATCTGTGTGACTATGATTTTTCAATTGTCTATAAAAAGGGCAAAATGAATACAAATGCAGACGCACTTTCCAGAATAGAAATTAACTCAGATGTACTTAAACAAATGATACCACAGGAATATGACGAAAAACAAAAAAAAAGTTTTAGTAACAACAAGAGGCATGAAGAATAAAGAAAATGAGGCAAAGAAAGAATTAGATAAGAGAAATGATGTTAATGAATTAGAAAATACACGTGAAAATAAACTGGAGAAATGCACATCTCAGAAGCCTGATCAACTTCACATATGGGAATGCACCTCCATTAATGACGTCAAAAATATAAACAAATTGCAATTTAATAATATTGAGAATGTAGAGAATTTGAATATATATATAGAAAATAATATTGTGCACATAGGTCGTGATGATAATTCAACGAAACCCGTTTCGAATATGAAGAAATCTCGAACCCAAAATATTGAAAACAAAAATAATTATATGCATACAAGATTCAGCGAAAACTCAGCGAAACTAGATTCGATTCTGAGGAAACTGATATCTAAAATGAATAGAGAAAATATAAAAGAATTAGCGCTTTCAAATGAAGATAAAATATTTGATTTGTATACAAAAGAAAAATTTAAGGAAATTTATGAGAACATAAAAATTAATAATAAAAGTCCTCAATTAAAAATATTGATATTTAAGCCTCCAATAAAAATTGCAGACGACGTATTGAAATATAAACTGATTGACGAATTCCACAACACGACATATTCAGGTCATTTGGGAATAAGAAAAACAATTATAAAACTAAAACAACGATACATATGGAAAAATATGAGTAGGATGGTTAAGAAATTTGTATCGTATTGCGACAAATGTAGTAAAAACAAACAAACAAAACACATTAAAGAACCACTTGTACAAACAAATACACCTAACAATAGTTTTGAAGTGATTTCAATCGACACTGTAGGTCCTCTTCGTATTTCAAACGAGTACCGATACATACTTACAATGCAATGTGAATTAACAAAATTTGTTGTTGCACACCCAATGTCAACTAAAGATGCACTCACTACAGCAAAAACACTAGTTGAACAATTTATTCTAAAGTATGGACAGTTTAAAGTACTTAAATCTGATAGAGGAACAGAATTTGTAAATGAGTTAATGAGCAATGTATGCTCATTACTTCAAATTAAACAAATATTTTCAACACCATACCACCATGAAACGTTAGGTTCAGTTGAAAGAAACCATAGAGTTCTTAATGAATTTTTGCTGACAACAGCAAATGATTATGAATGGGACAAATGGATTCCATATTTTACGTTCGCTTATAATACAGCTCCTCATATAGATACAGGTTATTCACCTTTTGAATTAGTATATGGTAAATTGCCATGCTTGCCATCTGATACTTTTAATATAAACAAAAATAAAATTTACAATTATGATGATTATGTACAAGAGCTACGAGTTAGATTACAATTCGCATTAGATAAAGCCAAAAATATAATTAACAAAACCAAAGAAAAAAGAACATTAAATAATAAATATGAAAATAAGTTAAATTTAGAAGTAGGTGATTTAGTATTATTAAAAGTAGAAAATAGGAAGAAGAACCAAAGTCCGTATAAGGGTCCATATAGAATTATAAGTAGAAATGGAGTAAATACTTCAATAGACTATAATGGAAAAACCAAACTATTTCATATTTAATTCTATTTTATAAGTTTATCAGAAATTTTTACTAACTAATTTTAATATTAAGATTTATATATATAAAAAGAAATATATGTAATTGTAAAACTATTTTTTTATAAGAAATATTATAAAATTGATTGTTACCATGCATGTACTTAGAAAAATCAATCCCCTAATTTTTCTCTTAAGGGCGAGGGTGTAGTGTGCTCTTGCATTACACACCACTGTACAAAAACATCAACACACACACGTACACATACACCGCACACTCCAAACATAAACAAAATCGATCAAGCTGCACTTGAATGAAATGTGACGAATGCTTAAAGGGATCATATTGGTGTTTGAGTGACATTATTAAAGTCACTCAATTCCCCAATTTGAAGACAACCTGATTGGTCAACTCTTCAAGTTGCAACTGTCGAAATTAGAATAAGTGCATGTATGGAATAGGATTAAGCAAGATAGAATGTAAATTAGAATAAGTTAGAATAGTAAAGAAGATATGTAAATTATATATAAAAAGAGCCCCTTGGCCACAAATAAAACAGATTAAGACTAAGACTCAAATCGGCAACTACATTGCCTTGAATTTTATTCAGAAAATCTCCTTTTGCCCTTATTAAGGTAAGATCGGCAAAAGCAATAGCGTAGCCAACGGCAAACACTGCCGGTTACAAAACAAACTCTTTAATTAATTTACTTTTGTTATTTTGACAAACCAACTCACTTGATCCTGCCAATCTAAAACCAACTCACTTGATCCTGCCAATCTAAAACCAACCCACTTGATCCTGCCAATCTAAAACCACCACATTAATTTTACAAAACTTAAGTTTTTGCCCAAAATTATGTAAAATTAATATTTTTGTGAAAAATAAACATACGAATGTAAAACCGAATGAAAGAATCTTTGTTGTGAATGGAAAATTCTACTCCGGCGGAGTAATTTTTAAGATTTAAACGTTGTAGTCAGCTGCCGCCGGTCGGATAAATACCTCATATCGGGTTTGTTATAAAATGAGTTCCGTAACAGAATTTTATTAGTTAATCACATTATATACACAGTGTAAATATAAAACAATTTATTAACTTTTCATTTAGATCTCAAAATTTGACCATAATGTAGAAGACAGCTGCCGCCGGTCGGGTAAATAACTCATGTGGGTTTTTTACATAAAGTGTTCCGGAACATAATTCTTTAGTTAATTGCGTTATCTACAAAGTGTAAATATAAAATATAAAACAATATTGTTTAATTTATTAAAATTTAATAGAAAAATATTATTGTTATATTCGTTTACAAAATGCTTGGTATTTTCAAATTTTTTACATAAATTATTCAAAATACTAACGAAGTTTTTCTGTGTTTTAACGGAAATTTTTAAATGTAAAAATGTAAACAATAACAAACTCTGACATCAGTGCGTACCAGTTAAGTGAAGAAAAAATAATCAGCTGATTGAATAACACCACCAGTTAAGTGAAGAAAAAATAATCAGCTGATTGAATAACACCACCTTATCTGAATTCGCCTTGGTGTCTTCAATAATAGAACATTTTATGATTCTGCTTCCAAATAAATCGTCGAGTTCATCGAAGTGGCTATAATGAAGAAATGTGTAAATATTTAATCAATTTTTTACAAACAAAACAGCTCACCTTTAACAGTATCCCAGTATCCCTCCCATGCCTTCGCTTTTTTGTAGTTAACACGCATGTTTCTAACTTTTGAGCGCACCTACGTCCAATCCATTGAAAATTTCTTTTCCTCATAGAAACGCTTGTACAAGACATTCGTTGAAGGTTTCTGAATTTATAAAAAATGTTTAGCAAAATTAATAAATTCAACTTTTTCATAAAACTTACTTCCAAACCGCGATTCTCCATTAAGAACTCTATTAAAGCCTTCTCCTGCGGAACGGTCCACTTCCTTGTTGGATTAAGTCGAGCGCGTTTTGGCTATAAAAGATGAAAATTATTTCATTTGTGAAATATTTATTTTTAATTATCTTACTGGCTTGTCTGTATTATTTTCCATTTTTATTTACATTAAAAATACAAATTGTCTTCTTCGTTTTATTCATTAATTGACAATCACATCAAAATTATAGCCTTGTAATTGAATACACTTTAAAATAAACATATGAAAAACAAACGTAAAGTTATACGTGCATTTATACACAAGTGTAAACTAATACAAAAATACACCCGATACGTAGATACACGAGGCTTGTGAATTGGACAATTCATATAAAACTCGTTCACTTAAATTGATTGCGGTACTAATATTTTTAAGTCAATTATGAATGTTAAATTGATTTTGATAAGGGATCTTATGCGAGACCTAGGGGCAATTATGGACCGATCATAATAAAATTTGGTAAAATGATTAATTTTCATATAAAACTCGTTCATGTCAAATTTCATCGCGGCATTCAATTATAATTTTTTAAACTGATTTTCTTAAAGGGCATTATTTGTGACCTAGGGGCAATTATGGACGGTCATAACAAAATTTGGCAATATGATTAAGATATACATAAGACACGTTCATGCCGAATTTTATCAAGAAATCAATGATTTTAAGCCATTTATGAGCATTGAAGTGAATTTTTAAAATGGACTTCATTCGGGGACTAGTTTCAAATGTGATCCTATTTTCACTAAACTTTACACCATGATTTCTGATTCTTGCTAAATTTCATCACGATTATTGCATAATACCATAATTTTGTGCAAATAAGAGCAATTTCGGGGGGAATTGGTATGGGGGCGAAATAACGGACGATTTTAACCAAAATCGTTCGGGTTCAACCTTGAGCGCAATTAACAGTAACTCTATAAAAAATCCTGCCTTTAACTAAAAAAACACGTCTAATAATTTTGGACAGGTTTTCAGCCAAAATGCATGTCTGTGAATCGTATCAATACTAATTTTTGTATCAAAACGTAAGTGATATAATATTGAATTACCTTACAATGCACTATAGGTGGAATGACCAGTTTTTAAGGCAAAATGTCAATTTTTAAGTGAACAATTTTCCAAAAGAAATTATGGAAATTAGTAGCTAATATTTTAGAATAGACAAGTGCAAAATATTAGAATCAAGTGGCAGCCCATTATAGTATTTAGCGTCAAGTTGTCAAAGTTGGATGTTGTTTGTTTGGTTTGTTTTTATATATTTAACGATTAAATTATTGAGAAAAACAAAAGTGTGATAAACAAAAAGTATTCCGATTATTAATTTTTTGTAAAATGAAAATATTTGAAAATGCATGTAAATATTGAATTGAAAGTGGGCCGTCTTTTTTTATGTTATTTTGGTAATAGTTTTAATGTTCCATGGTGTAGTACTTTGTTTATCGGGACGTATTCACTAAACTATTTATATGCTTAGAATGGTATTGATATTTCTGTGGCAAAAATGAAAAATAACATATTTCAAGATATGCAAATCACCGTGCTCACCTCTATAATGCGTAAATTTTTCATAAATATCGGATCAGAACTTTTAAAAATATCGAAATTTTTAAATGTATTTTACTATAGTTTTGTATTGGATTTTAAAACGTTCTCCCAAAAGTACAAAAAAACAACTTATGTACTTTTGCCTTTTTAAAACAGATTTACTTTAATCTTTTCATAATTTCAACTGCTCATATCTGCAGCCTTCCGCAAAATTTACGATTTTTGATTGCAAAAAAAAAAAAAAAAATCCAAAATGCGTCAATTGCAAAACTTTTTTTGGAAGATAATCAAAATGTTTTCCAGTGGATTTTTGATCATTTTCAAAGAAATACTAAAGGAGACTACATAATAACAATTAAAAGGAAAATTTATAATTTTTGTGCATGTGCGACCCAAAAGTAGGCCTTAACTTAGGATAGAGAGACTTTTTATTAGGGCTTGAGCCAAATATGGACCAATCGTCATAAAATTTGTTAGAGGCAATTATGTATACATAAGCAAAATACAAAAAGTCTCAATCTAAAACTAAACTAAAACTCGTCACGCTTGCGTGCACCTAGAGTGGGTCGGTCTCTATGGACAAAACAAAGTTTTGTCAGTCACCCCCTAGGATTAAAGATATGTTAATAACATTTCCAAAAATATAAAAAATATTTTTTTGCCACGCCTAGAAATACCGCCCTTTTAGTTTTTTATATATTACGCCGCCATTTTAAGTCCGATCGTAACATGTCATATATCAATATTTATGGCTTGATTGTAGCTATATTTCACTCTTAGAAAATTTTTTAATTCGACGTCATATTCTATGCGCGACTTCTGATATCTCGGCTCCTTCCCCAAAATCGAAAATTGTGGCTATACTGGAATAAATTACATTGAATTATATGAACTATTAGCTTTTAAAATGCTCACTTTTATGCATAAACACCTATTTTATAGATATTTAAAAATGTTCAAGTATTTATCAACCGTTCTCATAACAAACAATTAATTTGCCAGGAAAAACAGTCGAAATTTTTTTTTTAATGAACTATATATAACCGAAATTTTATTTTTTCAGTTACAAACCATTTCAGATCCTACTTCCTTTCAAAATAGCAGAAAGTTAACTATGTATGTACTACATATCAATACAGCAATATAGTGGTTTTGCTATGTCCGTCCGGCTGTCCGTCCATTTAAACCTTGTAATCAAACTACAAGTCGCAATTTTCCAGATAATTTGACGAAAATAGGCTCAAATATTTGTTGTTGTTTGAAAATGGATTAAATCGGAGCTCTTAATTGTGGCTTGTCGTTATTTCCCTCTTAAACACTTCCATTATGATGAAATTCTGCATATCTAATTCCTATATGAACATAAATCCCTTCACCAAATTTTGATAGGATCGGTCTATAATTGATCCTAGCTCCCATATATAGGCTCTTTCAGAAAATTTGTTTTTCATCAATAAATTGCTTAAAAAGTAATGGACAAATTTCAATATAAATGCTTTATTAAAAAGGAAATCATATTTTAGATATACTCATAACTGGTATCATATGGTCGGCCATTCCCGACTAATACTTTTTTATTCGTTTTTATTTCAAGAACTTCTTTAAAAATATATAACTATTTAAGAAAAGTTAATCTATCATTGAATAAATTTATTACATTTTATAAAAATTAGTATAAACATTTTTGAAAATTGTTTAAAAAAGAACCAAGAAACATGCAAGAATTGTATGGTAAAAACAAGAAATATTTTTATAAAGCATAACTCTTTAATTTTGCATAGATTTTTATAAAATAAAATGTTTAGTTTTTATGTACCTACGTGATTTTGTTATTTATTAATAAAATTAAATGCCGAATAAAATTATCTTTCTTGTGTTAAGATAAGGGCAGAATGAAATTTGTGAATTGTAAATTAATTTGAAAAAATAGTTTTCGACCATATCCCTAGCAAATTAATTGTTTGTAGTTAGAACTATACAGGTATTTTTAAATACCTGTAAAATAGGTGTTTATGCACAAAAGTGAGCATTTTAAAAGCTAATAGTTCATATAATTCAATGTACTTTATTCCAGTATAGCCACAATTTTCGATTTTGTGGAAGGATCCGAGATATCAGAAGTCGCGCATAGAATATGACGTCGAATTAAAAAAATTTCTAAGAGTAAAATATAGCTACAGTCAAGCCATAAATATTGATATATTACATGTTACGATCGGACTTAAAATGGCGACTTATATATAAAAAACAAAAAGGGCGGCATTTCTAGGCGTGGCAAAAAAATATTTTTTATATTTTTGGAAATGTTATTAACATATTTTTAATCGTAGGGGGTGACTGACTCTTTTTTTTCGACCCACCCTAGTGCACACCCTTCAAAAATGTTTCAATGTGAAACAGCTATTTGAGTTTTTTACTTATGATAAAGAATCCTTATGTCCGTTTCAAAAACAGAATTTTAATAAGACAAATTTTCTTGGGTTAATTGAATATTTCAAGAATGAAGGGTGTGAAGTTAAATTCGTCTGCCAAATACGTCCAACACTACATAATGTAAATACGTTCCACATACTGTAAAATTCGTTTTCAAATTATTTAAAATTATTTTTTAATAAAACAAAGACCAAATAAAATGTTTTTTTAAGAAAAAAGTAAAATTACATTAAAATATATTAAAAAAATAAATATATAAAATAAAACTTAGTTAAAATAATTGTATACTCGTTAAATATGGTGGTAAAATATAGAATTTTCAAATGGAAAAAACAGGCTCTTGGAGAAGACATGAATCGGGGTACCGATAAACTGGAAGTAGCCCAGGGCTAGTTCTTTCCAAAAATATATAGTTTATATGCAATTTCAGCTCTGGATAATTTTGACGATTTTTTGAAAAAGCATAAAATTTTGCCAAAAATGTAGGTAGTTTCAGGTCGATACTATTATTCTTATTATGAAAAAGATTTCAAAAATGAACTCCTGTTGTTCAATATTTGATATTTGATTTGAATTTTCGTTAACAGTTTTTACGTGTAAATAAAATACTTTCAATAAAACATAAACATTTCTTTCATATTGTTTTTTATTTTTGTTAATATTAAATATCACTCAATGAACTCTTTTTAAAAAATTATCTTGACGGTAGTTCATTATTTTATTTTGTGAATAAATAATGAGAGTGATGGAGGTAGCAAAATATTGTTGTAAGTTTTCCATGAAAATTATGCATATTTTATTGCTTCGCTGCCAGTAGGTTTGATTATTTTGGGCGCTGTTAATTTGTTGTTGGGATCGCCGTTTTTTATATATGATTTCTGTAATTTATTTATGACAGCACAATTTTTTTCTTGTGTTTTTATAATCTCAGGTAATAATAATGTAAAAATAGAGTCCCTTCGGCTCTACTTGACCGTTCGCGCGTAGTGAACGACCACGATAACCATTCTCAGGTAATATTTTTCGTATTCGTTGTGAAAATTAAAAAACTCTACAAT